AACACAGCGCTGATCTTCTCTGTTGTCCTCCTTGGCTACAGAGTTCATTTGAGGATCGTAAAGCATAATCATTCGTTATAGTCAATGACCTATTTTTATTCCTAGTTGATTAACCCATTACGGGCTCGCGTTTCCGAAACCATACTGTTAAGGCTCTTGAAGCGTACTTCAACATACTAACGTATTTCGCAATGAAACGGTCTTAGCGGAAGAGATTTGAAACTGAATAGAAATGCGACAGGTAATTATGAGACAACCCAATATAATCGCGAGTGTTGACCATGGTTTCTAAAGGATATCGACAACTCATTTATGTTTCAAACTAAATCTTCATTCATTCATCTAAATATTCATTTGTGTATCAGGCTTTTACTTGCTAAATAACAACATAAACCACCTATAGTCAATAATCATGGACTTGCTCAAAATCGACATCGATCGAAAGTTGAGCATGAAAGTAAGGGTTTTTTCTTCAGGGGAGCCTGAGTCGACGAAGATCTTCTAGTAATCTCACTGGTATCATTCAGCGAATAAAAAGAAACTCTAGAGGTAGAATAGAAGAGATCTGGACTGCGACAGAAACTAGATCACCGCGCTGCCGTGCCATAGCTCATCTTGTTTCTAGCCAAGTACGATTGCGGCAAGAGTGACGCCACTAGCGACGTCGCTATCACCGCGATCAGGATCAGGATGGTGAACTTTAGGACCAGCTGAAGCTCCTCAGCGACTCAGAACCTTATCCCTATTGCAATCAATCAAATATATGAAACATTGCCAATGACACGTCACTACGAATCAGTATTAGATCAGACCATAAGTAATATGTATATTCACTGGAACATTGCACCGAGCGATTAACTTGTTATGAGACTTAAAGGCAAGGGTCACGATGGCTGCAGGGCGTTGCGGTTTTAATGATATCATTGAACGTCACTAGCGGAAGGAAATTAAGTGGCGATTTCAGCTAGCTGGTGTGCTCAATCCACCAATGACGTTCAACGACGTCATCAAAACCGCACCGCCCTCCAGATAACGTGACCATTGCCTTTAAAGGTACCTGGAATGGTTCCCTCGTAAAAATAGAAGAACATATAATAGAAATTTCAACAACTCTAGTAAAGGTCAAACGAATACACATATTCACATAAATATTGCATTTGAAAATCATCATGAGCTGACTGTCTACAAAATGACGATTTCACTCGACAGCAGAAGAAGGATACATTTCAAGATGAAGGGGAGGTTTCTAAAGCAGGATACGTGACCCGCTTCGTGCTACACATTAAGCCCGTTTATTAATCCAACAACTGAAAGTGTGATTGCGAAGATCGTTCGCTGTCACTTTGACAGCGAAAGAAGTGGTTGCTTTCCTTAAGCAACCAGCCGAATCGCGGAATACCGCCGTTACAGACGAATCACCGAAAACAGATGCTGATTGACTGCTACATGAAACCGGATGCGTTGTTGTGATGCGCCAACTCATCATCCAGCTCTTCGGTTTCCGTGTGTGTCACATCGAAATCCAGCACCCTTAACACATGTCAGTTCAAGTCAAGTCAAGATGAATATACACGTAGGAGAAAGGACAGGAAAATGTGGTGAAATTCTGTTTCGGGGAGAGGCCATTCCTTTCTATCTTGTCCCTAGAGAGCACTCCTTTGGGCTATCGAACACTACGGATAAGATAATAAGTGAACGACTCATTTCGAGCGTACTTTTGATAAGGACCGGTGGATGTCCTACATTCCACACTACCTGCCCACATCCCATCCAATTTTCTGCACCAGGTCGTCCACCCTGGAGCTTCTCCCCCAGGATCACTTCCACATTGCACCGGTACTTATCAAAAATACTTTAAATGAGGATTACGCGTCATGAGCGCTCTCATTCTACCCTTAGCATTGAAGAACATAGTGGAGCGTCTCCCTCCCCCCCCCCCAAATTGGAGTTTTACCGAAAAATACATATCCTTTGACATCGACTTGTAATCTGAAGCGCGATTAACCGTCACATTAGGAAAAATTTCGGAATTGATATGATCCACTCTTGAAGGTGTCCTCCTCTAATCAACCTCCAACGGTCGATGGTATCCACACAGTCATTGAACCTGTCACCACTTGACACACCCCAACACGAGCGCACAATTCGCACGTACAATCGTGCGAGTCGTAGAGTTTGACACATTCCTAAGGTGAGGAAGAAAGCAAATGCTGAGAAACTACGGAAAGAGAGCGGTTACTGGAAATTCATATTACTGCACTCTCATGACACCTTATCATCATTTCGTACATAGTCAGACCTCAGAAAGCAGGCAGTAAAGGTCACGGCGAGTCTAAGCTCCTAAGGAAATGTTTCCTTCAGGAAGCAAGTAAGAAAGAAAGACTCGTTGCCTTTTAACCCTTCCCTGCTTCGACTTGAACTAGTGGCTTTACAGCCTTCCGTCACATCGTGAAACCGAATTAGTGATTGGAAAAAAAGAAGAACGGCTGTAACTCACTTTTCTGTATGATCGAATAACCCATAGTGAACCTCATATTTGGATAATTTTTCGTTCATCAACACCATTGGCTTGAATCTGCAAAAATTACATCAGGTAGTAGATAATTTAGGGTGGTTCAGGGGCTCAATATTTCAAATAGTCGCCAGGCTGTTCGAACTGACGTAGAGTAAATTCTTCAGCGCAGTTTATCACTTGCTACGGCCTAACATGTAAACCTGATCATATCAGTTATGAGTCATTGAAATTGATTGATCTTTGCGATAGAGTAAAAGGACGAAATCATGTTCAAGGTCAGAATGCCATTTCGTGATCGCCAAAGTTTGTTTGACTATTTCTCTGTTACGAAATACAGCAATACCTGTATAATAACCTGAAAACCCAAGTCAAGTAAAGGATGAATGGGACATGGGCCAAGATGTATGGAGCACACATGTGCTAAGATTAGCACTCCTATGATAGGCGGAGTGCGCATCGGGGTGGGCGGGGCTGAAGCAGAAATCGCGGTTTTGCTCCGGAACAGCCCATGGGGAGAGTAACGATGAGGTTTGCAAATAAAATAAAGAAGATCCACCTACTGTGAGCGAAATGCACTACTGACTATTACATAAATTACTTGATTTATGAACAGCCTAAAAAACAAAAATAAATTGTGGAAAAGAGCAAAACCAGGGTGTGCTAAGCTTCGCTCAGTGTACATCCCACGATCAAATAGGTGCGGTAATTTCGCTCAAATACGAAACTGAGAGAAAGAAAAGGACCGCTGGTGAGAAAATACGACGAAACCCTGTAGATAGTTGAAAGTAGAACTCTTTCTTTTCCTGGTGGTCGAGGATGCTACGATCCAGACGGACACCAATAGGTAAGAAACAATGCATGCTGAGGAGAGAATCAGATTCGGGAAGGGGAGAGGAGAATGGGGATGAGGAGGGCGAGGATGTGAAAGGATGCGTGGAGAGGACAAACGAAGCCGCCGGGGCGGGATTTGCGCACGGGGTGTTCCTTATTGGGCGAGGGAAAGACTGACAATTTGCCTCTCAATTTCGATCCACGGAGGTAGCACATTTTTCGTGAATATCGTGGGCATCGATACCGAATAGGGACGAGGAGTTTAGGGAAAACTGAACATTGTTTACGCACCTCGGTCTTCCCCCCCCTCCATCCTCCCAAGCCCCCACCCCGCTTCGCTACAAGCTTACTAGGGAAGCCATAGGCGAAAGTTATACGTGGGAATCGAGCGATCGCTAGCGAATCGCTAGACCCGAGCGTTGCGCCAGCGAATCGAACGTTGCACCAGCGAGTCGAACTAGGTACCAGCGACTCAATAGTGGCGGGACCCAACGTTTAAAGGAAGCCCGCCACTTTCAAACAGTGTCCACTGCAAAGTCCCGCCACTTTCAAACAGCGTCCACTGTCACGTGACACTGTTTGAAAGTGGCGGCTTCCTTTAACGTTGGGTCCCGCCACTATTGAGTCGCTGGTACCTAATTCGACTCAGCCGTCGTCAACTCGTCGACTCCGCTGGCGCAAATCCATTCCTGCCCTGGTGCCACGTCGAGTTCGCTAGCGCAACGCTCGATCAGGATATCGCTAGGCGAACCTCCGCTCACGATTCGTCATACTATGACATCGGCCGTACAGTCGAGAGTAGCACCAGTTCGAAATAAATGCATAATCACACCCTGAATGCGTACTTCACAACTGATTACAAATCGTTATCCACACCGGCCTGTAACGATGCTTGAACAGCAAATCGGTTATCCTGTTTTATTTCCAAGCAAAATTGTGTAGACAGATAAACTCGTGAGCATACCCAAAGAACTAGATATTTTGCAATATATGGAACAGATATAATTCACGACAACCCCGGCGTATACTGCAACACCCGGTGTCGCCGGACGCCAGTTGCAGCTGGCTCGACGGCATCACAGTGCTAAAGTGCGCGACAGCTATCAGGAGCTAACCACGGCCACTTCAAGGCACAGTCAAAAAATGAAGGGTCGAAGAGTTCCTGGATGCTCTGCACGCAGGCAAAGGAGGTATTAGGTGCTACCCTATCCTACGCAATCCGACATCCGTGTCATCCTCCACCTCCTAAATGAATGGCGCTCAGTAAAGTTGGCAAGTTTGCTCGACGCATTCTCTCCTCGTTGAGAGAACGCAGAGAAAACAAGAACTGGGAGGCGAGCACGCATGGAAAATCGATGACACGTGACATTGCGCGCCCCAGTGCCAACGCCCTACGTCGAAAAGTTACGGTATACCGCCTTCCTGAACTTATAATCTTCTGAGTATGAAAGCGTATCGCTACATAGCGTAACGTTAGAGCCGTAACTGCACATGGTACGTTCGTGAGAAGTGGACTTAAGCCACCCCTTTAGTAGGTTTGCAACAGGAAAAGTAGATCGAATTTATCACGAAACGTATTTCCTCTATCTGATAAGTTAATCAAAAAGTCAGCCTTTATTAAATTGAAAATGTAAAAGTAAAAGTGAAATGCAACTCACTTGTGCCCCCAAAGAATTTCATTGGGGAGAAAAGATGTTCTGGCTTGAAATGTCATACCCGTTGCCTCGACAATACCCTCGACAGTCATTATTAATTCGAATTCAGCTGACTGAAAAGGTGAATCGATTACTGGTAATATCGCCACTATTTTCCGAAGAATTGGGAAACCAACGTGTAGAGATTCTCTTGTGATGCCATGTAGTGGACTGGACTCGTCAATCACATGTCTGACAATAATTGGCCTGAAAAACGGCTTTCTCTAGATAAAGGCTAACAACTGTTTCGCATTTGGCAAGTGATAAAAGACACACCAGAGCAGAAGTATTCGATCCCATCCACTGTCGTAGCCGACATTCATATCCTTCACCCCTATCAGTTCTCGATCCCCGCGCTGAAACGGGAATTTTTAAACCGTATACAATGAATGGTCAAGAGGTTTTTTTACTCACATTATTTATCCTGCTACTGGCCATATATAGTCGTACATGAGACTCGGCCAAAAACAGCTTCTCTTGTATGTCAGCCAAGCGGATCATAAGCGCTGGCCGTCTATCGTGCTCATCAAGCGGCCCAATGACAGCCATACGAGAGAATCGCATTTCCTTAAGAAAATCATGGAGTGTTCCATCAGGGGAAAAATCGGTCACATTCACTTCATTTCAGCTCTTAATGAATGGAAGAAGGTGGCGCAAGTGTTGTAGGCTGTTGGATCTCTGATTAGTGCATGTTTTTTAGAACTGATTCCCTTACCAGTCAAGGAGCACCTCACACTATTTAATGGCACCGGAATAAGATAATGTGCGGCTATACTCCATAACCCGGACGCGCAAGTTTATCGGCATGCAACCGCGACCAAACAGGACTCGTGCGGCTTTGGGTCCCGGCAAGGCCGTGCGCGCGCAAGAAGGCTGGAACACAAAAGGAAAACGGAACGAGTCGCAGCTCGTATTGTAGTGTTCGCGTCAAGTTAGATAGATATACCATTGTACGACCTACATCGCACAGTACGCGCTGCAATCGCCCACTAACCCATCTGCGTCTCTGCCTTCTCGCCGCGCGACGGACCTCTTGTCGGGTACCCCTCAGCTCCAGTTGAGGGCTGGAGCGAAAGTCGCCCATAGCTAACTATTGTGAAAATTGGCAACGCGAATTTGCGTTGTTAAATAACAGCCTACAATCAAAACAAGTCAAAAACTAATATCTAATAACAAAATAAATAATAACAATTTGCTAGCGCGGTTTATTACCGATATCGGTGTAGCTAGGCTGGCCAAATGGTCAAAAGCTTAATAACTTGTTCATATTTTGTGTTTGATCAATATTACTTCTCAGTTTTCCTTATCTGTTAGCTGGTCTTGAAGAGTATACAGGCGATTCCTGCACTCTAAGCCTGCAACGATCTTTCACGGTATAGCGGATTTCTCAGACCAAACACTTCCAGTCCGTCAAGCAAAGGAACCCTCCGCTGGAGCTCCATTCGCCCATACAAGAACTGATGGTTTTTCCTTCCTGCTTGATCAAAAAAGGAGCCGTCTCCGACCGTCTGTTCCCCAATAACGGATTCCCTCGTCGCAGTATAGGCTGCCTCGTATGAAGCACCAGCTAGAAGGGACTCAACCTCGGAACGTCATACCAACAATACGAGACGAGGCAGGCTGTATTTCTAATTCACGCATATTTGTAATAGATATTTGTGGTGCTCGTGTCGAGTACCGTCTACTTCAATCTAGCGTAGCATATAAGACAGGCGAGCAGCGTAAAGACAGGAAGTACAGCCACATTTCGGGGGTGGGCTAACCGGTCTATCACATTACATGTATGAATGCTAATAAGCTACGGTTAATGATCCAGCAGCTTAGTGTTACATGTACCATCAAAACCTGAATCAAATTGTCATGATAGCCCGGTAGAGCAGTGGGTAGTACACATGCCGAAACGAGAAATGGGGGGCCGAATCAGGGTCAGCCCTACCGTTGCTTTTCTAAAATTTTACAACCCTATTTTCGAGGACCTCGATGCAACCCCTTCCCCCTCTGGGAGCGTGTGTGTATGGAAACGCTAACTTACACAGGGACGGGGGAGAAACCCGGGGCGCAGGGTATTTCCCAATCAAAAAATTCCAATCGCACCTGCCTCTTTCGAGGGTCATAACTTCCTTAAAAATTTGAATTAGTGCGACAAGGTAGGACAGATGAGGAGAATTTAATCCTTTCCTTCATTCTCTCTATAAAATCGCTGAAATAATGCCTTTGAAATTTACTCAATGAAAATTAGCACGGTGGTAATTTTTACGTGCACTACAAGATTTCAAACCTCCTAACATTCACAAAATTTCATTATCAAAGTCATTGTTCGAGATTCAAAGATATCTACAAAAGTCTTGCTATTTTTTGAAAATCTTTTGAATATAATTAATTGAGGAAGCTGAAGCTAATATGACAAACTCCACGGCTCAAGCTCCCTAGAAAGTGTGCAGAACTTGTTTAAGAAATAAATAAAATAATAAAAAAAATAAAAATTCAAAAACGATTCAAAAACCAGTCCCGTCGGGAATTTTTTCGGAGAGGCACTCAACAAGTCATTTTCGTGAAAGCCCGGGTTTTTCAGGTTCCAATGGTTGTAGCTCCCCCATGTAAAATATCATATCCTTCATATCCTTTTCTTGTAAATATTTAGATGTGTTAGAAAGCTACGAATAAAGTACGTTCAAAATTTCACTCAAGCGTTTATAGAAACCCGTTCCTTCAAGAGAATTCTTTTGTAAAATTTTTTTCCCTCGAGAACTCCATCGTTTACACTGCTGAGAGTTTCTCCGTTGTACTCACTCCAGAAACACCGGAATCTTTTTGGAACTGTCTTTTGTCACTGAGAACTCATATTTAGAGCGCAACCCCTTTAATGATTTCCAGCAATATGATGGATTTTTTCTTATTCTTCATTCCGGGGGAGGACTGTTCTCAACTCGCACCTTTCTGGTAATATCTGCATCGCGATCAGCAACAAACAGCAAGTTAACAAAAAACAACAGAACAAAAACTTGTTATGACTGCATCGCTTTTAAACAAAAGCGAGTACAATGAAATCGTTCGCGTTCGAAATTGAATGCAGAGGTAATGAGTGCTAAATAAGTGAGTAAGAAACCAGCATACTCAGTCTAAATCCGTGATGTGAGACCCATGAGATGTCTGGTACTTTTGCTGTTTCTGATGACATTCAACGATAACTGGTTGCTCGTCCATTGAACGCCATGTTCTGCCTCTTTGATGCAAGGACTTGAAAGGCACTGCCGGGCCTAGGAAGCTACACTCTGCTCCATCGCCCGGAAAGTAGACAGGCGTACATATGTTGATGGCTGCGCTCTCTTTTGCGGCTTGAAGTTGCGCGATCAAGGCCCTGCTAGTAAGCTTCGTCCGACTCCGCAACTCCACAGGCTTTTTGCCGCGAAGCCCGCGCCTTCGCGATGACAATCGCCTCGTGACGCCGCTTGAAAGAAGCGGGCGCACTTGAGGCAGCGGTTGCATTGCGACGCAATGTCATTGGCACATGAGTAACTAGAGCTAAGTTCGTGAAACTCGTCCAACACACCCCTCCTTTATCCCAAGGTGGATTGCGGCTTATAGACAAGTGGTTCCTATTCAGGGCATGATCGAGGCTTTCCTTTGCTGTCTTCCTTTTCCAGACCACATCCCACCCCTAGATTCATAACTGATCGCTTTTTCCACACCATTTTATCCCAAAGCTTGCCTTTAAAGGTAGCGGTTACGATAAATTCAAGAAGGGTTTAGTGTGACGTGGTGGTGTTCAATGGTACCCCAGCAGCGAAAAAAGCAGAAAAATCCGTCAAGAAAACACAAAACGGGACCCTCTTTTTTGGCCATTGGTTTCAACTCGTGAACAGGTAACAGCTAAGAAAGAGGACGTATGAACGAGTTCACCGCAACGAATTTGATGGAACCATGCCAAAGTACGCTTTAATCGAGATACTCCATTTGCGCCGCTGCTGGTCACGCAAGCTCGTCCAAATCAACAAGTCAACTTGTGGGCGTAACGCTGCTGGGGGCGGAGTGCTGCGGAGGTCCTGCTCAGCAAGCCACAGCACCATTTCGCCGTGCAAAAATTCCTTATCGTAATCGCTTTCCTTTAAGAGCCGAAAAGACGGCTAGCGATGGCCGGCCGTGCCGTATTCAGAGCACATGAAAGCAGTGCCAAAAATTTGTAGCTAGCTACAATTCGCTTGTCGCGTGCTTTTCACAACGAAAAGCTCCACAAAACTGTCTATATAGGCGCGGTCTCTTTTATGGTGGGAATATCCTCTCTTCTTTATGGTTCACCTATCGTACCCGCTGCCTTCAAAACTACACATTAGGTTTACCTTCTGAAGCGGTACTAATTGTTCTCTTACTCGCATTGAAATGTCATGTCAAACAACATTCAGGTTTGCCATTTGACTTTTTATCTGTTCCAGAGAATGGTTGTGGTCCGACCAAATAGTAACAGCAAACCGTCAAATATGCATGGCAACTTTGCCTTCACGTATGACTGAATTGCATAATCAAAATGAAGCCTAGCAGAGCAGAACAATACTTGGCATCAGAAGGACCTCAACCGGAAACGGCTTATCGGATCGCTTGGTGAGTTAAATCGTATGTCTGTGCTGTCGAAAACCGAGGTTAGCAAGTCCTGATATCAACTCTCTCCAGACGCGACCCGTGGCTGACCTGCACCCTTCAGCCACTCTCGCACGCGCATTGCATTGTATTTTGTTATAGAGCATCAAGGACAAAAATCGCAATGAAACGGATAGTCACGTAAGAGAAATATGGGAGTAGAGAAGGTAGGCGAACACTCAAGTTGATGGTATGCGGACGCTTTCACGGCAGAAGGCGTGATAAGGCGCGGAAGGTAGCTCAACTATCCCTTTGTCCTCAGACACGCCCATCGCCGGGACGTGGAAAGCATAACGGTAATATTTGATGTAAAACCGTTATTCTTACTATTTTGTTACAAGGGATCGAACCGACAATTGGACATGACTGCCGTAGCTATCGTGCCAATGTCGCCTCACGTACACCTTCAAAAACACAGGGCGAATCTTTCAGCAGGTTGCCCTCTTTTCGTGCCCGGTCTGCTGCGGAACCATAGCCACCAGCCCTTTAATATCGTTTGACATAGCAGACCAGACTACGACACAGATAAAACATAAACGTGGGCGGAGGGTGATCCAAGACCTGAATCCAGCGTCTTAGTGACGCGTTAAGAGGCGCGAAAGTGGTGCGACCACTGCAGTCAGTAGCAGACCCCGCACCTCCACCAATGGGAATTGCTTTTTAGTGAGCTGAACCAAAGCGAACGGAAGACACCAACAATTGGAGAAATGGAAACTTAAGGATTTGGAGCTTAGCGATGGATTCGAGCATAGGTTGTTATCAAAGTGGTTTTGACTTACTTGTTTCCGCTTCTTCGGTCGTAGAACTTTGGCAAGAACGATGCCAGTGAGCATTGTCTGAAGAAATACGCCGACCACTAGTTGAATCAGCAGTATAATATAGGCTGCAGGGCAATTATCCGTCATATAACTAAGACGAGAATATATTATCTGATGTTTGGATTTCTAATTAAGCTTTTTGCCCTTGCACCTACCGAAAGCCATAGCCGATTGTATGCTGAGATTCCATGCTGAAAATTTTGAACATTGATATTAATGTGTTCAACCGAGCAAATTAAA